ATTGCTTCGCATTTAGAAGAAAAAAGTCAAGAACAAACATCATGGACACACTGGGATTTGAACATGGGTCCCCTGCATGCCAGAATTCTGCCACTGAGACTCGTCAATATTTGAAACTTTGTTGCGAACCGACCGTAGGCATGCAGGCTTCATGATGGAAAATGAAACCCGTAAATATGAGCAATAAAGCATTTTAGGAAACCAAAGGAACAACCAGTAGTCACACAATGCAAATAGCGTAATGAGTGGGTTGTCGCATGCACCAACCCACTACAAAAGCCTCAGGCATAGTTTCTCATTGTTGTCAGCCACACATTTTAATAATGCAGAAAATTCCGTGCAAGTATGTAGCGGACACTACGCTATTCCGAAGAATCACAAAGGATGATATACTGAATGCCTTCTTACTAGAAAAAAAATATGATTTATGGCGTAGTGGGTGCCCTGCAAGTGCTTGTAGCAATTACTCAAATAGTGTTTAAAAAGAGCTCTTTAAAGCTACTCTTCCAGCTTTAGCTGTGACTGTGCTGTGTGTTTTGCACAGGTCGAAGAATTCCAACTTGTCTAATGACACCATGTAGCAGTGAGAGAAACTTTAGGTCTTCGGCAAAGAACAGGAAAAACTGACAATGGGCTTTCACAACTTAAACACTTTGTAAGTTAAAAAAAAGCTCTTAAGTTAGAATAATTACGTGAGAACACTTTGGAGCCAGACTTGATGGTGGACATACCATTAGCAATGACGACTGGCTAATGGCTAGTAGCTCTAAGCTCGGAGTTCCGAAAGAACAGCGGTTTGAGTTCGGTCCCTGAACTATTCCGACCGCAAAAGGAAAAAAAACTTTGGAGCTTGATTGGTCCGGTTCTCTAGTCCCCCTTTTCGCTTAGAAAACACAATGGCGCTGAGCTTAGGTACCGTATTGTTGATTGATTGATATTTTCTGTTTAACGCCCCAAAACCACCTAACCGTGCAATATGAGAGACGCCGTAGTGGAATGCTCCAGAAATTTGGACCACCTTGGTTTCTTTAACTTGCACCCAAATCTGAGCGCACGAGCAAATAGCATTTTCACCTCCATCGAAATGCAGCCGCCACAGCCGGGATTCGAGCCCGCTACCTGCGGGTCAGCAGCCGAGTACCTTATCCACTAGACAACCGCGGCGGGGCAAGCAGCGTATTGTTATTCATCGTATATACAGCATGATCGACTGCAAAACATTTCTCTTTTACGAGAGAACGATAAGTATATACACGATTCGGAAACATTTTTGACGCCCTCGACGATGCACTGTTGTCTGGCGGCGGCGGCCATTTCCCATTTCGGGCTTCTATGCAGTTTGGAACATCCAGTTGGAAAGGCAGTCTAAAATGCCAAGGGCGAACATGGCAAGGCGTTCTGAAGGGCACACAAACGCACAATGCCGTTCGTTTATACAGAAGCAACAGAAGAGCGCTCGAAGGGACTAGCCACGTGTGGTTTGTAGATGATTTAAACAACTGGGAGAAACTACTAACGCCAGCAGAAGTTCCAGAAAACGTTTGACGTTTGCCTATAAGCAAGGTCGCCTGTAGTTATCAGAGTATTTCGTTGCGCCTTTCACTGTTGTTGTTTCCACGTTTAGAAAGCATTCGCGGGGCTATTGGAAATGTCACTGCCACGTACGAGGAGGTATCCTACACAGATATTACTTGATAGCTGGTATCGCGCCCTTGAAGCGAAAATTTTGTCGCGAGTACAATACTTCAGCCTTACTCAGCAAAGCTTTAATCAATCCCACAGAAGTGACAGAAACATGGAATAAACGAAAGAGAATTTCTCGGATGTGCTCGTTTCTTTGTTGAACATGGAGACTCGAAGGTTGTGGCATCAGATTCCACCGACAGTAAGGGTGATTTTTCGTCTACTTTGATTACTTTCAATTTACTGAATAATTGCTATGCTACAGCCAAAGTACAACAATAAGAGTACATGCTTTCATTGGCCTTATTGTCCATATAAACAGAAAATGACTGACTGATGTCAGTCATTTTCCACAAAACCACCGTGCACACAGAAAGGGAACGAACACTTTGAATATAATTTTCGCGCTGTTTTCTGATAATGTGCACCCAGCAATTCTAGCTCCCCGCACTTTCAGTGTAACATTTCGTGAAAGAGTAAGTTGCAGGGGACATTCAAATTAATTTCAGAAAGCCGGGGTTGGTTATTGTGCAACAAATACTGTACATGCGAGATTTATGGAGTTCAGACACCATGCTGGAGAAGGTGACCTCCCGTGGTCTGGAAGTCGAACTTCATGCCTTGGGCTCATGCCTTGAACTTCACGCCTTGAGCAAAATACCGTACGCGCGGAAAAAGTACCGCACAGACTAAGTAGCATTTTTATGCTTGCGCATATTATCATCCATAGCTTACTGTGAAATATTCGTTTTGTCTCGAACTACTTATACACATATATACCGAACTCTAGAAGGAATCTACGTTCAATCACCTTCTATATTTACGTTGCGAAGCTTTCTGTTGTTTTCGAAAGAAAATACGCGAAGGCGAAGCATGAAAAGCTTGCGTTTATGATATATTATAAGTTCTTGCTTCTCTAAAATTCATGGAATATGTTGGCCTGGATTCGAAATGACATTTCTGGCCACGTCCTGACGACAACGCTTCAACGATTCACAACGGCATATAAAACAGAAATCACTGGGTTAGCGAAGGCTTCGAAAATCTAAAACTCTTCAGCCCTCTTGCTTACTGACAGACAGTGAATTTAGTGCCGACATCCCCGCAAGTTTCGCCTAAGACAGCTGTGAACTCACTCGCAAGTGAACTACAGAAAAGGTTCTAAAAAGTGCGCAAATGCGAACCTTCGGAACTCATTATAGGGGCTATGAATCCAAAGTTGCATTCATAATCTGTTAGATTGATTCATGTGGGGTTTAACGTCCCAAAACCACCATATGATTATGAGAGACGCCGTAGTGGAGGGCTCCGGAAATTTTGACCAACTGGGGTTCTTTAACGTACACCCAAATCTGAGCACACGGGCCTACAGCATTTCCGCCTCCATCGGAAATGCAGCCGGCGCAGCCGGGATTCGAACCCGCGACCTGCGGGTCAGCAGCCGAGTACCTTAGCCACTAGACCACCGCGGCGGGGATTCATAATTTGTGTTATGTGGGTTATTCCTTTTGCATTCACAAATAGGCCGGCGAAATTTCAGCGCATTCAGTAGAGCAGTCAATTTCTCAATTGAATATTTTTATACTCACGTGAGCGGTCTGGGAGACGGGCAACTCCGGTGCCTTCACAAACCATGACGTAACATAGAGAGAGCTTTGCAAGCGTCTACAATCCAGCGAACGATATTGTTCCGTAGTCGGGTGCGCGTGAAATCAAGATAATTGAGCTTTATTCAGCTTGGTGCTCAAATTGTACAATTTTCAGCGGCTGAAGCATCGGTATACAAGACAATGGCTTTGCTCCTTCCAGAAAATGACGTCACACAAGCCATGGCAATATGGCAGTCTCCGATGGTGGGCAGGATTTACGGCCGGCGGCTTCTAGGGCTTGTTTTACACTAAAACAATTTTTTACAGCTCACTTTTCATATTTATATAGACATAATATACTCCCTGCTTCTAGTTTTCGCTGATAACTATAAATTGTTAGGTGACCGTGTCATGGGCCCGTTAAGAGATATCCATTTGTACCTCTTAAATAGCGTCATGCTGTATATTAATAGTGACAAATTGTCCTTTTGAGCGTAATTATTGCGAAGGAGTGGCGAATGAAAGACCATGAACTGTAGGTATGAGCACATATATTTATTAGAAAGAAAAAAAAGTAGAAATTATTGGGGTGTAGATTCTGTATGAGGAGAAGCAACAGCTTTGAATAAAGGAACAAAAACTCGTGTGGTGTTGATGGTGTGGTCATTCTTGGTAATTTTTGCTTAATAAATCACGAATCTGTGTTATTATAAACAAATGTTTTTTGCCACTGATTAGTACTACTCCTGAATTTAAGCTCTTCAGAAAAGGGCAGTCGCTGTAAAATTCGAAGTACGTGGGAAAAAATTCACTGAGTTGGATGCTTATGGCTCAAGTAAAGAAATAGTAACCATCACATAGGTTTGTTTTGTCAACCTATATAAGCCAGTGTATGTAGACGACAAGGCAGCTGAGTCCTATCCGAACGAGAAGTTGCCGAGAGTGCCCGTTTTACACATGTCTTTTTTTTTTTTCAGTTTGTGCAGCCTTAATGCTTTAAGTAAACATAGGCTATTCGGGTTCATAACCGAGTAACATGCTACGTAAAAGATATAACAGCGTTCCAACGGGTATATTTCGTGTACTTGTTGCATCTACGATAGGCTTAGGTTCCGAGAAAAAAGCTGTTCTGAAGACATGAAAACATGTCATTCTTCAGTTTCGCGTTCTTAGAAGACTGTTGTGTTCTCAGGATTGTGATCAATATTAGCTCATTTAACGGCATCGTGCATGCCGTGCGCAGGATCAGAACGAAACTAGGGGTGCCTTGAACTAACTAACTAACTAACTAACTAACTAACTAACTAACTAACTAACTAACTAACTAACTAACTAACTAACTAACTAACTAACTAACTAACTAACTAACTAACTAACTAACTAACTAACTAACTAACTAACTAACTAACTAACTAACTAACTAACTAACTAACTAACTAACTAACTAACTAACTAACTAACTAGCTAAGTAACTAACTAACTAACTAACTAACTAAACTAGCTAAATAATACCTAACTAACTAACCGACTAACCATCTAACTAACTAGCTAACTAAATAAGCTGAAAGCTTAATATTATGAATTTATTTTTCCTGGTATGCCATAAACTTAACATTTTATCTGCTTACTTGTTCGGCAGACCAGCTGCGTGAAAATCAGACAGAAAAAACCTCCACCGCCCCCCCCCCCCCCCTCCACAACGTGCGTATATCAAAATAAACGGAACGATTTCACTATGGTACTTCGATTTATAAATCTGCTCGGACAAAGTGCTGTACATATAGCACGAGAGCACATTCATGAGAAGCAGCGCTTCGTTTCGTCAGAGAACTCGTGCTTGAACCACGACACAAGCTTTTGTTTCTTCTTGTTTCGTTGCCTTGTAGGAAAAACTAGACAACTGCTGTCGATCAAATACAGGTACCTGAAAAAAAACAAAGAGGATAATGTATGGGCACATGCTACATTTTTATGCGAATTAAGGTGGTGTGAGGAAACATCGACAATGCGCCATAATTGACGCCTTGACCATGATAATGGGTATGCTACTACGGAATGCTTGCATGCGACACTTCAAGCTAAGCGGCCTTTGGCTAGTTGGCATTCAAGATTGGTTGGGTGGCAGGTATAGTAAGAAAAAGAAAAAAAATACTGCAGCAAATTTTGTTGAATATACATAGGCTATATCTAATTTCTTCACGAATACTCACAATCTTACTTCAAGGCAGCGAGTCAATATACAAGAAACCTCTGTGTGCGTAAAGCAATATGAACGAAACAACAATTTTGCCACGGTACTCCAACTTATAAATCTGCACGGACAAAGTGCTGTACATATTACACGAGAGAACACTCGAGCGGGAATGCCAAATGCTAAGCGTTTTAGTTGGTGAAAATGTGCATGACCATCAAGAATAAATTGCAAAGCGGTGAAAGTGCTACAGCGTTTTTGAAAACGTCGAGTTTTGTGATGAATATTGAGGAGGTTATATTGAAAGTGTACACCGCGACTGTGTGTTCGCTCTGGCCATATGAGAATTTCCGAACTCACCGTCGTAGGATTGTATACGCGTATATAATTTTTTTCTGAATTTATTCTATCGTAATAGTCAGATGGAACAGGCTCGCCTTCGCCAAGCAATCGTGACAACTCCTTCATTTACTTTTCTGTTTCGATAAAATAAAGTAAAAAAAAGTGTTCTGTAGAAGCGCTGCCACCCGGCAAGAAGAAAAGCGTAATTCATTCGCGCCGGTTACTAAGAACATAGTACACAGGTGGAAAGTACAAAGTACACATCGTTCATGACGCAACATCACTTGAAGATGAGGCAAAAACGAAAAACAAAATTGGGGCTTTCAATTTTAGTGCCGAAAGAATCAAGGTGAGCACATTGTCGGTGTCAGAAAAGCGCCGCTAATGAAAGAATTACGTGAGGGATCGAATATGGATTTTACCTGTGCTTTTGAGTCGTAGGGTTGCGTGAATCGGCATTACTAATTCATCAAGCGCACACACAGTCAGTGGGCACCACGCACCGATGTGCACTTTGTGCATTTTAAGGCGATGTCGCTGCTGCTTTTATCTTCACGTTTTCCATTCTTAACTTGGCGAAAATGTGCCTGCACAAATCGATAGTTTGCGTCCGTTTACCTTTGACTTTTTTATGTGCTTGTATTTTTTAATATCTTGAACAGTTTGTGTAGAGATGTACTTTTCTATGTGAGTGGCGGCATTTTCGTTTTTTCTTGTTCGAATCCGTCTCTGTTACAGAGTACAAATGCAGTCTGTGTGGTAGGGTCCTGTACGACAAACGTGGTACTAGGTGTTTTTTTCCGTCTTTTGAATTCAGAGTGTCTATTGATTTCCTATGCAGCTACAAAACAGAGAAAGACAAAGAGATCAGGGCTAAGGAAAGAGACGAACAGCGCGGTACATGAAGGGGGGTTTCATAGTCTAGAAACCATGTCGACACCCTCCGTAGAGCAACCCAAAGCGACTCTTATACTTCATACTTCTGCTTAAAATTTTCTCTGATGCGTACAGCACTGACCAAATAAATAAACAAATACATTCTCCACATGTGAAGTCTCCCAAGCAGTCAAATTTTAACTTAGTGATCACACAAGATAGATAGATACAGACAGACAGACAGACAGACAGACAGACAGACAGACAGACAGACAGACAGACAGACAGACAGACAGACAGACAGACAGACAGACAGACAGACAGACAGACAGACAGATAGATAGATAGATAGATAGATAGATAGATAGATAGATAGATAATAGATAGATAGATAGATAGATAGATAGATAGATAGATAGACAGATAGATAGATAGATAGATAGATAGATAGATAGACAGATAGATGTAGGCACGCACGTAGTTCATTGCGATAAAAATTTTGCGTTGGTTTGTAGTAAATACTGTGGGTCAACAAAACTTTGGGCGTTGACCTCTAAGTTTTCGGTGGTGGGTCAGGTTGGTTTTCATAGTGAGTTACCTGAGTTTTCGAACAGGGTGAGGTTGATTTTTTTTTAGTGCGGGCCAGGTTGGTTTTAACTAGTGTCGAAACTGGTTTGTTTTAATATCCGGATACGACTTGTCCTTACAGCATAATGCCAGGTGCGTATGTATTATAAGTGCACCTGCACTAAAAGACCTGCGTTGCTTGCAGATTGAAGCAGTGTTTTGTGGAACGTGGTCACAGCTGGTGGCAGCACTGTAGCAGCGGTCGGCTTACAGTACGAGACGAGAGAGTTCCTATATTAAGAGCGTCGACACGCCCGTATTGGCCACGTGGGTTCAGTTACCATGGGACGCGGACGGGCCCTCTCACTTTAACTATAGCACTGCGCTGACGGGTCCCGTCACCATAGTCACGATTAAACTACGCGGACGGGCTCCCTCACTCTAACGATAGTACTGCGCTGAAGAGTCCCGTCACCATAGTCACTGCTTAGTAATTATGTTTTTCGGTGCTTCAGTTTCAGTTTGACTTGTCAATTTTGTTGATGATTTGTGGGGCTTAACGTCCCCAAACCACCATATGCTTATGAGGGACGCCGTAGTGGAGAGCTCCAGAAATATCGACCACTTGGGGTTCTTTACCGTGCATCCATATCGGAGCACACGGTCCTACAGCATTTTCACCTCTATAAAAAATGAAGTCACCGCAGCCGGGTATCGATCCCACGATCTACGGGTCAGCAGCCGAGTACTTAGGCCATTACGGCGTAAATGTAGCGTAAAAAAAAGACGAGGACAAGAAATGGAACAGCGCAAGCACTTTGGTGTTGTGAACACCACCAGCGCCGCACTGTTTTTATTGACTTTCTTTTCTTCATCTTTTTTGCGCTACATTTACGCCGTAATGAATCAGTACCAAATCACTCACCTCTACGTTTCGCTTTACCTTAGCCACTAGACCACCTCGGCAGGGCTCAATTTTGTCGAATTTCATTGTTTTTCAAAACTGATCTGTGGCTGCTTTTTTTATATCTCAAAGCGGTAACAGGCTCACGGGAAGTGGTAATGGGCTCACAGGAAGCCAATCGCTAGCACCTCAAATCAATAGTTTAGTAATTTTGATTTTGACAGTTGTGACAGTATTTAATGGCCCTATCATTTTAACATGTTTGATGCCATATAAAAAGTAATTAGGAAAACAGGGAGCAACTATCACATTTTTATCGTTTTTCAGGGTTTGCGGGCAGATATTTCGAAACACCCTGCATAATATTTTTTCGCCCTTTGTTTCGATAACTGAACCTTACCTTGCCAAGAAAATAGCACATTCCCTTTAAGGAATCCAACTTGTTTCTCATTTCGGGCACGATGCTTTAACTGTTATATATTCTTTATTACGATGTCTCCTGGTGCTGTTTTATTGCGACTTACTATTTTGTATTTTGCTATGATATTTGGCTTCGTTTCCAGCTACTGCTTTTCAAATTAGTACAAACATTGTCGTGCCCTGTATTGCAAAAATACATAAAGAGATAAACTGAATCGAATTACCAGCAATAAAAAAAGACTGTTTTTGAACTGAGACGTTAGAGCTGCTTCCCAACAATGATAAAACGTACGCCGAGAGTAAAATCATCTGGAGTAGTTGCCCAGAACACTAATGCATCAGACATTCGTTATGATACTTACTGTTCGTCCTTGAATTCATCTTCTTCAATATGCGTGGAATCTTTTCCCATGATGATGAATTCTGTGTCATTGGGCATATTGAAAGTTGCGGCGCAGTGATCGCGCACCTTGATACGGCGTATCTTATTTTCCAATTCATCTTCATGGCCTAAAAAAATAAAAAAATAAAGAGGGGGCTTAGTACGCTCAGTTATTCGATCATAATGTCTGGGGCTTTATGTGCCTAAAACACGATGTGAAATGCGCCGCGTTGCCGAGCTCCAGAAGTTTACCCCATCTGGTGTTATTCAACGTGCACCGACATCGCACAACACGGGCTCTCAAGCATTTAGCCTCCACGCAAATGCGACCGCAGCGGATGGAATCGAACATGCGATCTTCGGGTCAAAAGCCGAGTACTGTACCACGTTGTCTGATTGCATTTGTTTACTCAGTGAGCAGATGGGTCTATGAGTAACACAACGCCCAGTCTGTCAATCTGAAAGCATGGCGAAGCTAACCACAGTTCTCTTGACCAACAGAACAGGCTGCATTATGAAATCTGTCACGTGGGGATACGTCATTCCACCTGCAGTCCGGCCACTCCGCAAAGCTAATTGAGCCCACCCGGAGAACAAAAACTCACATGGTTAAATGTACCTTAAATGAGTTCGTGCCATGGTATAAGCTTAACGGTTATGACACACACACACACACACACACACACACACACACACACACACACACACACACACACACACACAAACACACACACACACACACACACACACACACACACACACACACACACACACACACAGACACACACACACACACACACACACACACACACACACACACACACACACACACACACACACACACACACGCTGATGCTGGAACTATTAGTAAAAGAAATATTCAGCCAACCGCCATGCACGCATATCAGTAGCGAGGCGTGCTACTAATAGTAATAAGCTTTGTGAATTTAATTGCAGATATTCCGGGCGAAGTTCCTTAAGGCGTGGGTCGTGTGTCTCCTGTATGTAGTAGCCACCACTACTTTTAGTCCTTGGAATGTCCGCTGGATGGTGGTACTTGCATATGATGAATGTATGACGAAAAGATGCGAGATGGCAGTACTTGGAGTGTTCATCCAATGAACGGACGGACGGATGGACGAATGACCAGACAGACAGACAGACAGACAGACAGACAGACAGACAGACAGACAGACAGACAGACAGACAGACAGACAGACAGACAGACAGACAGACAGATGGACGGACCGATGAACAGGTGGAAGGATGGACATAGATGCAGACAGACAAACAGACGAATGAACGGTCATATATACATACATACATACATACATACATACATACATACATACATACATACATACATACATACATACATACATACATACATACATACATACATACATACATACATACATACATACAGACAGACAGACAGACAGACAGACAGACAGACAGACAGACAGACAGACAGGCGGACAGACAGACTGGTGGACGCGGCCAGCGGATGATCCATGGTTTGCCGATAAAACCCTTCGACACTTCACCCCACTCATCATCATTCACTCCGTGGATATGCTGAGATTTTTCGTATTATAAGCACTCGCAACATTTTGACTGACTAACGCATTCAGTGTATTAATTTAGCCACTCTGTAGAGAAACGAGGAGCAGGAGCGGTAGAAACGAGTCAGATTCACAGTGGTGCGAAATGCTGCTCGGAAAAGTGAGCCAGGTTGTCACAAGAATTCGGAGCAAGTTGAGAGAACATTGTCGGACATCAATAGATTGATCAGTCAGTCGACTCTCGCCTAATATCTCTCTCAACTGCGAATGCCAAACGGAAAATGGCGTCAGCCCGGTATAAATACGCGACGGTTGAAGTCGATGCGAGCGCCATACAATTTTCTAAAATTGCACGGGTATATAGTTCCGACACAAACGTTTTCGAAGAACAAGCTGCCTGCGATTTTTTCAACATCATTGAAAAAAGTTCACATTCCCTCGCGTATATTCCGCATAGAAATACAGAAGTGCGAAGAAATAACGCCGATACTACAAAGCGAAGCTAAAGACACGTGAGTGCAACGAGACGGCGAGTAAGCGCGCTGCTCCGGAAAGTTCAAATGGCGAAGGATGCACCTCGTTATTTCTCTAAAGTGTAACGCCTGCTTTATATCTTTGTACCACTATGTGAAAGCGCTTTTGTGCCTACATGGCGCACTTTTGGTCTCATTCATTGTTACTTTGCCCTTCCAGTTGGCGAATCAATTTACTCACGTCATATTCTATAGACTAGTTGGCCAGTTCACGGAGTTTTTGCAGAATGACTGCTTCACAAAGGTGGTCGTGCCGGGTTCGATAACCAGACTAGCACAAATATTTAAGACGCTTTCCTGTGAAGGAAACTGTAAGACTGCTTCTTTTGCATAGAATCATCCTTCTGGCAACTTTTTACGGTAGAACCACTTCCTCTGCCAAAGTGAAGGAACGACTTTTATTTAGCTCGCTCAAATGCCGATGGATGGCTGACGAATAATTAAAGTGGACAAATGGGAGCTGTATGAGTTGTAAAGCGCAGGTTATTCCTGCGTTTTCAATGCGGGTGAGTACTGTTTCGCAGTTTTCTGATGATGCAGACACAGAAATAAAAAAAAAAACATTTAGGTGCCCGGGGTTCTGCAGTTCTCAGCAAGTGATCTCCTCCGGTTTTTTTGCATATTTATTGGTATATAAATCACACCAGCGTTCGAGACACATTTGCCCCGTTATCGTCACCACCATGTTCCGTATATACGTCAAATTGATAACATCGCCTCGGGTGTCGCATGATCAAAGTGCAAGCGAAAGTTTGTAGAGATTGCAGACGAGCGCGGCTCAAGCAGCGGTGAAACGCGCCGTTCATCAGCGCCACATGAAGGAGCACAAAGATGTGGCGGTCGGGAGCGCACGGGGGCTGTGTCGCTCGGGCGGCGGCCGCGAACTTTGGTCAAAAGGAGATGGTTGCGCTTTTGGTCTTGACAGGAATCAGTAGACGACCCTATCCTTTTGCGTTCTGTGCTCTCAGCGCTTACTTTGCGTTGAGACGACGGACAGCCCGAAAACCATTTTGCTTTTTGGAGCGGTTGTGTTCTCTTACGCCAGTGCTATGAAGAGTTGCGCGAGAAAGGAGATAGCTTCTGAAAGTGATCACTTCATACAACTATTAGTTTCAATTATACAAATTCCAATTTTAAGTTATACTTCGTATAACAGCCAATTGGTTGCTATTGAATTCATTGATCGACAAGTGGCAGGAAACTGTGACCTGTTTTTTGTTATTGCTTTTTTACCTTTAGCTATTAACAGGTACGGTGCTTTCTATTTAATTATTTGCTGATCGAGACATGAATTGCTTCAATTACAGGTAGGAAAATAGACAGCAGAGGCGCAGCAGAGACTCATGCTGGTCAAGAGAGCTAAATTGCATAACATCTGCGTTTCTTCGCAGCGCGTCAGACGTTCAGTGGAGCCATGTACCCATGTCTATTAATATTTTGTGAAACTGTCGTGAAAAGGTGTACCACTTTTCGAATGCACTTCAAACACTCATAAAAATAATAGAAATTGGTACCACTCGGCCTGGTGGTACTATCTACCCAAGTACATTAAAGAAGGCTCTTTTGAACTGTTTCTCGCTACAACATGCGGCGCGGACAACAAACAGAATTTCCCAAGTACCCGGATCACTGCTCACAGTCGACTGCAGTGGCGTGTATTAGCGCTTTGAAAACAACGCTTGAACGTGCTTGTGTGAAGTCCCTTTTTAGCGCTTCACTAAATAGATCCGAGTGACTCGTTTACAAGGGTAATATTTTTGCTGACCATATATTCTGTTTTTCTTTCAACGATTTATTATTGCGCTTTATTTTGACTCATGAAGTTAGCCCTAATAGGGCAACTATCACGCCGGTACGGTTGCAAATATGCTCCGTTATATTTTATCGTTGCAAAAGTGTTATTGGAAAAAGTGGCAACAGTCGCAGTCAGGTTCAGGGGCAGCTAAATACTGTTGCCATGAAATCATGCAAGTTAGCTGATGTATACGTGTCGCAGGTAGCCTTCACATGTGTCACTTTCATTTTATTCACTTTATTTATCGATATCGTCAGCTCTATTTGAAGGGCTATTACAGGAGTAGAATGAAGTCACATATAAACAGAATTATGCATAAGAAAAACACAAGAAAGATTCTTCGCTACTGGAACATATATTTCACAGCACATATGAAAACGCATATTATCATGGTCTAATTACAACGCACATAATTTCCACATGGCATCAAAATTGCATGATGCCATGCATGAAATGCATGAAATCCAACTACGCTATAGAGGTTATAGCTTCTAAAATCTTTGCAAGGGATTTAATTTACACAGCCTAATCTGCCGACGAATTTCACGGCTGAATCACTTTAGAGAAAACTTGGTACCTGAAACAGTCATTATGAACATTGTAGGGTGGTACGTACATACAGTGTCTGTGTCCTGATGTTTCTTGTGTTTTGATCTCAAAGTACTAGTAAATAGCTTACTTTAACGTGATTATGAATTATCATGAAAAGGAATTTCAGCCTTTCATATTCTGTTCGTCTTTAGAGTGGTGAGAGCTCACCTGCAAGTTTGCATAGTTCGGACGGTGAGTGGAAACGGTGCTATTTGTTAAATATAAACCTAGAACTAAGGCGCTGTATTTTCTGAAGTTTTGAACAGATAATTTGAGTATCGAGATCCACAACTACTTTATTATGTTCGATTATGGGTCTAAGCAAGGTTAGTTAAGCTAAAGCTTTAACCATGAAGAGGCAGAGTGAAGGTTACGTATCAGGCCCCTTAACACCTTGTTAGCTTTGGAACAAAGTTCCTCTTTGGGAATAATACAGCGCAAGTCAGGCGTTGTATGAGATTTAGACATTTATATTAATGAGCTTAAGAAAGTTCGTGACCATTAATACTGTAATGGTAAGAATGTTATTTTGTCTAGAAATGAACATAAAAGCGATTTTTGTGAGGCTAAGCTGCATTTGCCCTTGATCGCACCAGCTTTTAATTTTCTGTAAGTTAAGATAAGATCAGCCTGGTCACTCCGTGACATTATATTTTTGTGCAGTATGCAATCATCAACAAACATTCTTATTCAGGTAGTAATAATTTTTGACAGATCATCTATAAAAAGCAGGAAGAAAATACTACTGGAGGTAAATGAGATAGGTGATGTTCTAGTTGGACATATCATTCTCTGCGTGCAAGATACAAACTGAACCAGTGGTTAAGGACAATATTTTGAAAGGTAACATCAATTTTATGTAAAAGATTCTTGTGTGACCCTTATCGAGAGCCTTTGCAATGTTTAAAATGCTATGTAAATTTGACCACGGGTGATAATTCTGCTAGAAAGGTCGTGTACAACCTAAGTAAGCTTAGTAACGGTGGATAACCTTTTCCTGAAACTATGTCAACAGTAAAAAATGGATTATGTTAATCAATATATCCTAAGAAGTGCTTCGATACAATGTGCTCTAATATTTTAGAACAGGTACTTCTAAGCGACGTAGGTCGGTAATTGCTAGCGTGAGATGTAGAAGCACCTTTGTGTATGAACAGAATTTTCACGCGTTTCCAAGCACTGTGAAAAGGGTCTCAATAGTAACAGATAAGTGAAAAATCAATGTCAGAAACTTCAATGATCATTCGGCATATCCGTGAAGAAATTCATTGGGGAAATTGTCAGAGCCAGCGATTTTTTTAGTATTTATATAAAGCCGGAGCTTTAGGACACCCTCTTCAGAGATCCCTCTAATCAGGATAGGAATCCTATTTAAGAAATGGCTAATGTTGGTACCATCATCGATAGTAAAAACTGACGAGAAGAAATGAAACGCCTCTGCCTGATTTTTGCTACTTTTATAGTTAAACATACTACTGGGCCTGGTCGAAGGATTCACGCACCTCCTGAATTTTTCTGGGGATCCTTTGAGAAATTGCGTTACCGTTGAGTTACTTTCAGACGTATTCACAGTTTCCTGGCTGTTTTTACTTAAAAGCTAGACATTGTTCCGAAAATTCTTGGCACTTTTGTGACCCTTGGGGATAAATTGTTGGCCGCTAAATATTTCCGCAGAATGAAAAAAAAAAACCGCCACAGTTCTTCTTTGTAACGAGTTGTTCACTGCATTTCCAGAAATGAATAATATTACTGCTCCAGATGTTATAGTAAAGCCAAGTCATTGCAGCCATTAAATGAGAAATCATCAGTTTTCATCTTTGCGCATGATACTGACATACATATCTGCAGACATTAAAACCTTTTGATTGTGATAGCAACTATATGGACGCTCTCGGCTAGATTTTGCCGCCAGCGTCGGCGTCAATGTCATGCACTGTACATGTATACGCATCTAATACATGAAAATGCAACAAAGAAAAAAATCCAGAAAAAAAGCACTCTGGCACGCGGAATCAAACATGGAACCTCTGCATCGTGAAAACGAGGCGTTAACCCCTGAGCCACCTCGAAGAACGGCAAAGTATTTATATATACCACTACCACTGTTGTGTTTTTGGCATCACCAGAAAGATGGTCCAATGAGCGCACGTCGCCACATCATGCAGCGGCGCCTGCTCTAATAACCTACGCGAACTTTGCTCGGCTTAGAGAAGGAGAGCTACGCTCCCTCGCGCGCCCTTATCTCGCGGTTGCGAGGAGGGGAAGATCGTACGCTTTCGCTGGCCTCGGGCTTTACGTGGAACAGTTCTGCTGTAGTTACCAGGCGCACTAAGGTCACTGCAATTATTGCAGTCTCCGTTCGCGAAAAGCGCGTGCTTTTCAGACTCATCCTAGTAACAAATAAGACGCCTATTTGCGTGCATCGTACCTGCGAGCACGTTTCGTGCGTAATTTATGCGCGAGAAACGCGGGGCACGTTTCGATATGCTTTTCATTCTACGCGTGACCTTTCAAATTGTTGCTATTGCATTCATTGCTTCGCCTTTGCGGCAAAGCTGTAACTATTTATGATCAGGGAGACCGTCATCAATTTGACACGTGGGAGTAGTGATCCAGATAAGAATATAATTCAAGCACTGATTGTGTGGTCAGACCCACACGTGTACAAGATGAGGTGACCTAAGTCAGATCGTAACAAAAAGCGAGATGTATTATGTGATCACTTTTAAGGACTTCGCTTCTCTCTGAAGTTAGCGTCGACCAATTATTGCCAGTGAGAATTAAATCTCTTACTAGGATCATGCTTCAGGAGTGAGTTCATAAGGCTTCTTCGGTTATTAAGTACATTCGTTAGTTGTTTGGAGGTATAGACTTATCAACAATGTACACCGTGCTATTACTGAGTGTCATTTTGATCCAAAGAGCTTCGGCTGCAATAGCACGTGGAAGAACACTAAATAATATATTGTCTTCAATTATTATTGCAACCCATCTCTTCTTGTTGCACGGTCTTTTCTGATGGTTTTGTATCAGGGAGTGGTAACCTCAGAATCTAGTATATTTTTCCTGAGCCATGTTTCCATCGTTAGTGTAGAGTCGGGATCATGTTCGACTACTACTGCCTCAAGGTCCGACAATTCGTTCAAGATACTTCTTACATTTGTATTTATTATCTTCAACTTCTGAGGACTACTCTGACGCCGTAAATCACCATCACGGCACCTGTCAGGTGTTTCGGGAGATGTCTTACATATGTACCTTATATTAAAGGTACATATGCAAAGTACATAAGTGCACAGCAGCTAGCTGTGCAGCAAAAATTAGGTCTCACTATACTCTTTGATTGATTAAAACAATTTTAAAACAAAACAGACCCATTATATTAGTTAATAAACGTTCTTTTAAAAATTCTTCTAGTTTGAACCGCCTGAGGACAGCAGTACACATGTGTACAACATTTCACGTCCTGCCATAAAGACAGTGGTACATATAGGTGCCGCTTTTTTTTAGAATCTATTCTGATGAGTTTCTTGGAAAAAGAGTAAAAAACAATCTTAAGTCATCCTAAATGTTGTTTCTCACACATAACAATACCTTAACTTGGAAGTAGTGCCTTCCAAAGGGTAAAGACTATAAAGTACGTCACTACAAGTTGAACTGAAATACTTGATACTTCTTCTGGGCGAAAAACTGGGGAGGTAATTTCATGCGATTTTTTTCACTTCACTCAAAATGCATACTATTCTGTATATCGAACTTAATCCATTCATTGTACCGCTGAAAGTACTTACCTGGTTTAAGAATTTGCGTTATAAGGAACGTCACTTCTATGAATCCATCCGTGGAAATATTTCTTTTTGCCTTTCCTTTCCACACTGCAATGAAAAAAAAGCATTGTAGATATTTTATATTTTCGTAAGTCGTGACAAAAATATTGCCATAGTATATGTTCCTAATTATTTGATTGATATGTGGGGTCTAACACTCCAAATTCATTATATGATTATGAGAGATGCCGTAGTGGAGGGCTCCGGAAATTTTGATCACCTGGGGTTCTTTAACGAGTACCCAAATTTGAGCACACGGGCCTACAATATTTCCGCCTCCACCGGAAATGCAGCCGCCGCTGCTGGGATTAGATCCCGCGACCTGCGGGTCAGCTGCCGAGTACCTTAGCCACTAGACCACCGCGGCGGGGCGTGTTCCTAATTAGGAGTGAATGAACAGTAACCGAAAATTGCGCGAACTGTACCTTTAATGACGGTCATGTACGAACGTTTTGGTAGATTTAACGTTCAAAAGTTTTGAGCAAGTGCGGTTTTCGGTTTAATAGGGTGTGTAGAACTGAACATGCACAACCATCATTTTTTTTTCAGAAATCGGTGGCGAACCTTCGAGGTTCAATAACCGCTCAATGGCTGCAGTGCATTCAAGTACAAAAATATGCCCCTTTTTATTGGCAGTTATAAAGAGATCTTGGTGCACGAATAACACACTGGTTACTTCCTAGTTCTTCTGTGGGTCTAGCGCAGAACACTCCGGGTTCGAGATCGAGTGTATAACAACGTTTAAACAGAAAACTTGGATGGAAAAATAAACATCGCACGTACGATATCAAGTCAACTAACGCCACTGCTGCAAAAAGTCTAAAAAGAATAAATAATAATGCCCCGTACCAAGAAAGTATCTGGACGGTTGATGACACATAGATTATGTAGGTGAGTACATAATTGTTTACAGATATCACAATGCGTAATGGCTCGAGTCTGTCTTTCATAACTCCCCAACGTTAAGAGCAAAGAATTTCAGACTGAGCCGACAAGAACAGGCGATAACTTCAAAATGAAATTTATTTGCAAGAAAAGACGTACAAAGCCCGTAATAAAATTATTTAACAAATGATTTGTCTATACGGACATAACTGTGTATGCATGCATGTAGGAGGTAGTGGCCAGATACTGCACCAGGGTGGCCAATTCTTCTCTGGTGAGGGAGTGCGTTCCCGGCGGTGGTTACCGGTGAGGCTGCACCCCAGGCCTCTTAATGCAGTTCCATCACCACGCAGATTTTTTTTATCCGGTTGGGAACTGCGCGGCACCAGGATTTGAACCACGAACCTTTTGCATGCGAGGCGAATGCTCTAACCACTACGCCATCGCCGCATCCTGTTCTAAGTAGACTATGTCTACTCAGGGCAGGTAATAACCGCGGAGCCGAACCACGAGATCGAAGTAACTAGAAGAATAAGAATGGGGTGTAGTACATTTGGCAAGCACTCTCAAATCATGACAGGTAGATTGCCACTATCCCTCAAGAGGAAGGTATATAACAGCTGTATCTTGCCGGTACTTAGCTACGGAGCAGAAACCTGGAGACTTACAAAGAGGGTTCAGCTTAAATTGAGGACAACGCAGCGAGCAACGGAAAGAAAAATGGTAGGTGTAACCTCGAGAGACAAGAAGAGAGCAGAGTGGATTAGGGAACAAACGGGGGTTAAGGATATCATAGCTGAAATCAAGAAGGAGAAATGGACATGGGCTGGGCATGTAGTGCGTAGACAGGATAACCGCTGGCCATTAAGGGTAACTAACTGGATTCCCAGAGAAGGCAAGCGGGTTAGGGGAGACAGAAGGTTAGGTGTGCAGATGAGATTAAGAGGTTTGCGGGTACAAATTGGCAGCAGCAAGCACAGGACTAGGCTAACTGGCGGAACATGGGAGAGGCCTTTGTCCTGCAGTGGACGTAGTCAGGCTGATGATGATGATGATGATGATGATGATGATGATGATGATGATGATATAACTGCGTAGTATACCCCCACGCGTGTGTTGATGGCCTTCTTACTAATTTGGGAAAAGTGCGAGTGGAAACCGATGTTTAACGAATGCGTTATTTTTCTTCAGTGACGCCAATTAGCACACGAGAGAGGCTTTTAAGGCAGCCGAAATGCAACTGGAAGACAATAATGGAGTCGGCATTAGTTATTTATCTCTGAGCATGAAGGAGCTGGCTTTCTGGGAAGTATACTCAATCCAAGTGACGGGTGCGTGATCAATCAAACCATATCGTCTCACTTTCACCACGGATATGTATTAGACAACACCAGTGATCTTGTACGTTAAGATCGATGCCGTGTGTACAAAAGTGTGACAAATTAGCAATATTCAACAATCAACACAGTGTAGCTCATAACTCCTACTCTCCGTAAAACGCTCCAGCGAGAGAAGATAATTACTTCAGCGTTAGCGATTACATTCGTGAAAAATACTTGTGAAAAAGTTTCTTTTTTGTATTTCATCGTTATTTCATAGTTTTCGTTATCGTTATCATCGTTATTTCATCGTTTCGTATTTCATGCGCACTACACGATCGACGACGCTATAGTCGGAACAGAACCGGACAGCATACTTCGCGCCATTTAGAACCAAGAGGAAGAAATGATACGCTGCAGCGATGCGCTCCCATTGGTAGCCATGTGAGAGGTGATACCGTGCTCGTGCCAACGGGAAGAGCTGCCATTTTAGCTACGGTAAACACGCCGCAGTCAGAGCCGAGAACAGATCCGTCACCATTGCCTGGTTGCCATGGGAGCGACACGCGCGCCGCCGTTGCGGCATGGAGGCGCGTTCCGCGATGCCTATGTGTTTTCTGCCACTGTTTCGTAAGTTTCGACGACTAATTCTGGAAAAAATAACAGCTAAGAATAATGCGTCGCAAAGACAAGCAGGCGCCGCTCCTGAGCTCGTCATGACGCCATTACAACGCTGTTTTGTATACTGGCCGCCGGCTCAGCACCTGTACGATTCGATTTTCTGATATGCTACGTGGCCAAAACCACGATGTGGTTACGAGGTACGCCGTAGTGGAGGGCTCCGAGAATTGTGAACATTGAGGTTCTTTAAGGGGCACCTATATGTAAAGTACACACGAGCCTCTAGCAATTTTCCTTGCCTCGGAAATGCGACCACCGCGGCCGGGATCGAACCTGTGCCGCTTGCGTCAGCCGCCAAGCACCACTGTGCCACCAGGACGGCTTCAATGCCATGCATAGAGCTATGTTGGGGGTGAGAAAAAATAACAAAAAGCACTCACTATCAATATATATATATATATATATATATATATATATATATATATATATATATATATATATATATATATATATATATATATATATATATATATATATATATATATATATATATATATATATATATATATATATACAGATGGCGCTGACTGACTGACACTGTCACGTTTGAATTCACATATATACCCAATAAAGTGGCTGGGAGGATAGCCGCTGTGGTAGTTCAGTAGTTCACATTTACATTACAATTGGCCTAATAACTTCCCCTATAATTTCCTTGGCATTATTGTCTGTTAGGTCTCATAATTATTGTGTCCAAAACACGGAAAAACGAGCCCTTAAATATACACTGTTTTCTTATCTTGTACTGGCAGACTTGGTGCCTTTAGGTTGTATACGAAAAACTATTGGTCAGCTGCTAGCTCGCAATAAGTTCGCGTGCTACGTGACGCCAAACAGGCTTATAAAGAGGGCGCCACGCTCGCCGCCATGGCTACTGGGGGCGATGACTGACACTCCCACATTTAAATTCGCATATATACCCCATAAAGTAGCTTGGGGGATAGCTGCCGTGGTAGCTCAGTGGTAGAACATCGAATGCGTTGTTCGAAGGTCGCAGGTTCGGTTCCTGCCCACGGCAAGTTATCTTTTCGCCCACTTTTCTTTCTTCACATTTACATTACAGTTGACCTAATAACTTCCCCTAAACTTTCCTTGGCATTATTGTCTGTTAGATCTCATTAATAGTGTGTCGAAAACACGGAAATACGAGCCCTTAAGTGTACAATTGTTTCGTATATATATATATATATATATATATTAATACTCGTGTTTTTCTCTTCGAGATAACATGTTAAAGTTTGCACGCTGTGTTTCGGGGTGCAAAGTTTAACATGTTATCACAGAATACCACGAGTAAATGAAAATGCTAACTTTAGTCATTTAGGTGGAATGAAGGCTTACAAATCTTCAAATCTCCAAACATGTGAGAAAGTTAAGTAACAGTATTTGGTACAACAGGAGGAACTATTGAGTTTTCGTCGGGGGCTTCAGCTATTATATTCACGCGAAACGTCGCACGGCGTCGCTCATAGCCGGCCTTTAATCATGGGAGGTTCAACCCCGTCCGTTAAATGGCTCAAAATTTCTAGACCAAAAAAGCGGCGGCAGTAGCAATAACATAGTATTCTCACGTCTGCCACATCAGGCAAGATATGTGAGTTCAGGGGGAAATTTTAAAGATCTTGTGTCGTGCCGTAGAAGAAACGACAAGCTTGTGTCCATAACTGGCTGATGTATCTTGATTTTTTACGTTATCTGATGGTTCTAACGTGTCAATTCTTAGTCAGCAATCAAAAGACTGGACGAAGTCTTCATCTCGTGATTTATCGCAGAAGGCATGTGCGTGCAGTAGTGCGACGATGTGATGGGATGGACGGGCTCAGCAGAACGTCACGTTTTTGTTGAAGGTCAACGCTTACTCTCTAATAATTTCCTCTTTCAAGGTCGCCCGGATTTGATATACAGCTTCCAAATCAATGTAAAGAAGTAGTTCAATAAAACTTGCTTCTGGGTGAGTTAGTTCATACTTGGTAGATAACTATGGTTGCGCACTTCGAACAGAAGGGCATGGCAGACACGGCAGACAGTCGCAAGGACATGTCCGACATGGCAGACAGTTGCAAAGACATTGCAGACACAGTAGACAGTTGCAAGAAGATAGCAGATATGGCAGACAGTTGCAAGGACATGGCAGACATGACAGCCAGTTGCAAGGACATGACAGACAGTTGCAAGGACATGTCAGGCATGGCAGACAGTTGCAAGGACATGGAACACACGGCAGACAGCTGCAAATACATGGCAGATATGGCAGGATTTTGCAAGGACCGGCAGACATGGCAGTTTGTTACAAAGACATGTCAGACACGGAAGACTGTTGCAAGGACATGGCAGACACATCAGACAGCTACAAAGACATGGCAGACACGACAGAAAGTTCCAATGACATGGCAGACACGGCAGACATTTGGATGTACATGTCAGACACGGCAGACAGTTGGAAGGGCAGGATATAGAAGAAATGGCAGACAGTTGAAGCAGATGGCAGATACGGCAGACAGTTGAAACTGGACATAGCAGACAGTTGTAAGTTCATGCTGTTCCCTGTCTATCATGTCCCCGCGTTCAAAGTGCGCAACTACAGTTACCTACCAAGTGAAAAGATAGGACAGAAGTAGATCATAATTGCTGTCTGCGTACAGAAGCAGGCAATGAACGCCCACCGATCAACCCGTGTTCGGTAGAATGGCGCCTCGAGAAAAGAAGCAATTCAGCGCGTACAATACAGGGCTAATAGTTGCGCGTGGCTCCAACAAACTTCCACTACGATTTTCGCATTGTGGGTTGATAAATAGATCTCATCCGACAGCAAATGAAACAAACGAAAAAGCAGCAGAAAATAGCTGAATGGGCTTTCCGTAGATTGTTGGGGGGTTCGGTATAACTAACAGTTATTTAGAATGACAGAGAGGGGCCTATAGCTGTACCTGTCAGTGCCGAGTGTGTCTTTTGATATCGTCCTCGTTTGTTGAGCTGTCAAAAGTCGACTTTTGTTCTACCAACCAGCCCAATGATCAACCGTAAAAAGGAAGATGCTGCGAAACGAAGCATAGTATGGCAAATGAAATGCAAATGGACATTTTTTTTCAATTGATTGATATGTGGGGTGTAACCTACCACAATCACCATATGATTCCGAGACACGCCGTAGTGGAAAGCTCCAGAAATTTCGATCACCTGGGGTTTAACGTGCACCCAAATCTAAGCACACGGACCTACAGAATTTTCGCCTCCATCGAAAGTGCAGCAGCCGTAGCCGGGATTCGATCCCGCGACTTGCGGGTCCGCAGCTGAGCACATTAGGCACCAGACCACCATAGTGGGGCACATTTTCTTCAAAGAAGACACTGAAATGACGTATGAAGGCATTTGTGGCTGCTTTTTTTATGCGTTCAAAAGTTCTCTTTTATTAATCTTGACCCCTCAGCGGTAACCCTGAATTCAACTTTGGTTGACGACTTCAGTGGCGCATCGCCGACGTTACTTTAACCAAGGGTTCTCCTTCTTGCCCCTTTTTTCTCTGTATTCTTTTATTGCATTTATTCATTTCTTTTCTCACTACAGGTGCTATATAGGAATGGACCTTGCCTCGCTGTCGCACTGCAAGCTGTGCAGCTACAGCAACATTCATATTTTGCGGCAACATAATAACTGAATACTCAATAACGACGTGCCGCGGTCCCAAGCGAAGCTAAGTGGTGCGCTGGGCGTGCATTGGTTGCGCCGCAATTGGTAAGGTAAATACGCTGAAACGAACACCGGCCTCGCATTGCGTCTTCCAACGCATGCGTCGTGGGAACGAGCGATCGCCGATGGCAGCGCTCTTACCGTAGTCGACTTCATCGCAGGCGAATTCTCTGAGAAGTTCATGCTGCTCCGCCTCTTCGAAAAATTCGTCCTCGTTTTTCTTTAAAAACTTGATGAGCGGGTCTGCTGGAGGGCATCCACCTTGAGAATAAGAAAAAAAGAAAAATGAAATCAGCAATTACTTGTACCGTCACTTGCTCTTCACGATTTTTGAGAAAATATGGTTTCTGAAGCCGGTTAATTTGGTAATTTTTGTGCGAATGATTGCAGCAATCTGTTTGACAACCACTGAACGGATATAAATGTGATTACCTGCATTTAATAAACAAAGCAGCATTTTCATGGTGCTTGGATGCCGAATTGTGATTTAGTATACCCGAAGTCGCTGAGTATGGTAAAAATTGAAAGCAGAGCTGAAAGCTCCATATACTTTCGTCCCTAAGATATTTTGCAAATCTGTGAAACGCCCATATTAAAGGCTTCAATTTCGCGCAGCGCGTTTAAGAAGCTGCATTTTTGTATGATCGGCGCGGCCCGAAATTTAATGCTACACACCGCTGCGACACTCTTGACAAAACCTCTATGTGGAACAGATCGAACGTATGCCTTCGATCAGTTGATCAGTTCTGGTTATCTGGTTCATTCTTAAACTCTAAATAGGCGCAAAGAACTACATCACTGGGCTGCGAGAAGCCCCGCCGCGGTGGTCTATTGGCTAAGGTACTTGGCTGCTGAGCTGCTGGTCGCGGGATCGAATCCCGGCTGCGGCAGCTGCATTTCCGATGGAGATGGAAACGTTGTAGGCCCGTGTGCTCAGATTTGGGTGCACTTTAAAGAACCCCAGGTGGTCGAAATATTCTGAGCCCTCCACTATGGCGTCTCTCATAATAATATCGTGGTTTTGGGACGTTAAACCCAACTTATGAATCAATCAAATAAGAAAACTGTAATGTCTAAGAAAACTACGCTCCCCAATATATATATATATATATATATATATATATATATATATATATATATATATATTATTGAGATATAACAGACCATAATGCACGAATACTATAAGGGAAGTCATTTCATTACACATAACAGTAATTTAAATCGTGGGCAGGAGCCGAACCTGCCACCTTTGAATAATGCTGAAAAAAAAACAAGCCCTTAAGTATGGACATTCTCCCTTAACACTCACACAGATATGTCTAGAAGCTGGTACACGTACGAGAAAGCAATCAAATCATTTGCGCCTTTACGTTTCAGCTGTGGCGAGCCCTTTGTTAGAGACGCACACGTGGAAAAAGAATAAGAAGAATAAAAAAGAGACAAGAAAAGGCACTGTCGCGTACGAGTCAGTCAGAAAACAAGCATGGTCTCCAGTTATGAATATTTGTTGCCAATTTCATCCTGGCATACTTCCCGAAGCCAGGACTTTTCCGGAGTCTTAGATGATGCCAGCCACTAATGTTCTGTATTTTAAAACAAAATATGCCTCACGCTTCTCGCGCTTGTTTGAGAAACCGGACGGTAAAAGAGTTATGGTGATAGTTTCAAAACTGGGGTTTGGCCGGTGTAAATGTCTAGACAAAAGTAACTTCGGCAGTGAAGTGGTGTGTTGCCGGTGATTATTGAACCACAGCCTATAGGGCGTGTCTGTTGGGCCGATATATTCTTGCCAGGAGATGTTGCAGCGTAGCATGTATATTACGTTACTGTAGTCACAATTGAGGCTTTTAGTTGTGCAGAATTTGATATCCGAGAAGTTCGCTTTTGATTCACGCGCTGTGACTATCTGTGGGCATACCTTGCAACGAGCTTCTCCGCAGGGATAGCACCCTGACTTAATTTTAGAGGAATTGTTCCTATTCTGACAAGAGTTTTTTTCAGGTTTTTATCCTTGTGGTACACGATGGGAGATGGCTCCACGAAAAATGAAGTCAATCGTTCGCTTTGATTTAGTTGAAATGGTGATAGTATGTTGTTGACTCGTGGCACTGATGAAGAGTAAGTTAGTATACCAGGTTTGTTTGGGAAGTTGTTTAGATACTCATTTTGGCCACTTAATTATGTCATACCGGTTCACGTGGCGAGCACGCAATATGACATCGTCAATATGTCTTCGGGATAATTTTGTTTCGATAGGGAATGCTTTAGGTGTTCTGCGTGTCCGTCGAATTCCTGTATATAGGTTCATAATCTTCGATACCGGTATGCTCGAGAGTTTGGAATACCCGTCTTGCAATGCGCTTTGGATGGATAATCTTAAAATGTAGGTAAATCTGCCTATCTGTAGTGTTCCGTTCAGCAGGCCACCCTTTTGCTGCGGCCGACAGAACGGAAGAAAGGCCGCCGCCTCATTTTGGGGAGATAAGGAGCAGCGCCAAGACGCCCTGCTGTATCCATGGGCTGGGCGCTGCGTGGCTGAAATTGCTCTACGTAGCACCGCTGTCCTTAGAGTCCACGCAAAGATGCGACACGTGGCGTCTTCGTGCCCAGGTAAAAGCCGCAATGCCGAGCTCCCACCGATTACGCACGTCTGACCATCACACTGTGCAACTGATGAGCCGCCGATGCTCAAATCAGCACCACATGTCCAGGCATGACCCCTCGGAGGCGCCTAGACCACTACTGCCGTTGAACAAAGCATGGGTGTTCGGCCCGAGCAGCGAGATGACAGACTCGTTTCACCCCACTCAGCAAGATTCGCTGAAGGAGGCAGCATCGCCGGGACCCTACACGTGTTTGGTTTTTGTATGTGTGTTTGTTGGGGGTGGCGCCTGATAATGGCACTCGTGTGTGCTGCGGGACATGTTATTGGACAGTACCATATGGACCTATTCCCCGACCTAGGGATCTGGGGAGATGAGACTGTATTTAATCAGCCCTCGCGGTCTGCTTTGTGTGGTTCACAGAGCTTGTTCAAGAGACAGCCTTTTCCAATGTAGAGCTTTCAATGTAGAGATTCAGGCCAGAGAGCCCGTGCCATGTAAATAATGTAAATAAACTCTCTCTACGAAGTTCAACCTCCTCCTGCCTCGACATCTTTATCTCGGATATCCGGTGCCACAAACCCCGGTTGCAACAGTAAGCTTTTTGTAAACGTTTCTTGACAGGTGGTCATTTTTGACAGAAACAGTGACATACAAAAAGTTAATGCTAGTTTTGGAAATTTTGTGCGTGAATTCAATCGATGGGTGGAGCTTGTTGAAAACCTCTATGAAACGAAGAACACTTCGCCCACCATGGTTCTATATCGTAAAAATGTCGTCCAAAAGTCTGTAATAGAAAGGTTTCAAGGTGTGCACCTCAACAAAAGAAATTTCAAGTAATGCCATGAAGGTGCTCGCAAAGTTTGGGGCCATACTTGTGCCCATTGCAGTGCCACAAACCTGAAGGCTTAAAACTGGCCCTATATGTTTCGGGACTCAGTCAGTCCCTTCCACAGGCGTTGACTGTCAACACCTGAGGAAGGGACCGAATAAGTTCTGAAACGTAGGACAAGTTTTCAATTTTAAATAAAAAGAAACTATAAACTGAATGTGGCTGGAGACCTTGTTTTATTCGCATAATTTTTACCCAGCTGGAGAGATTTTTGCCAAATATATTTACCTTTAGAAATAACACCTACTTTATTTTAAGCATGGAAAGGCTTATGTGGGAGAAATAAAAGAACACAAAAATGGCTTGGGAAGACTACGGTGATAAAAACAGTACCAAAAATAAATAAAATAAACAAAGCATTTCAAGGCGTCAAAGAATGTCAGCCTAAAATTAACATTTGGGTGGAACCATGTCAAGGCATAAATAACTCTTGACACGTGTCGGTGGCATTGTTTGACGCCTTCATGTACTTTGCTTATTTCTTGTATGTTGTTTTTATCACTGACTACCATCCTCTACCCTTTTTCGGGTCCGGTCTTTCTCGTGCATACCTTTACTGGTGCGAAATACAGTGGTTGTTACTTTACACATCACCATGTGTTGTTCCTCGTTTGAATCCGGTCCGTATCCTATCTGTTACGCAGCGCTTCGAACATAAAGTGAATTGTAGGTGTAATGATGGCAGCGAATTTTCCCTTTTGCGTGTTTTCCCATCGGTTTGATTGCCCCATTCTCCGATTGGTCTTGTGCATACAGAGCATGCATCACAAAAACAGGAATTCAACTTCAATTCAATTTGTTGAATTCAACTTGGCTACGAATGAACCCATAAAGTCAGTTTATGAAAGCGTTCTCACACTGAAGACACCGATGGATTGTCACGAACAGCGGAGGCGGCCACTTTGGTTGAGATTCCTAAGCGCACAAATAAGACGCTTTTTGATTATTTTGTAAAGGCTGGTTCACACCGAAGGCGGCGCGGCAAAACGAGCAAGTTGGCTTTTCGAAGCAGTTAGGCGGCAAGTGCGTGCCCCTGTTCGAACCACCCGTCTCCCGGGAATCGCCGCGCGGCAGAGCAGGCGGGCATCTCGCGCTTTTGCGCACGTGTCGCTATGACGTGTCAATGCTTCTCTCTCAAACGCACAGCCGCTCCACCACCCCGCCTCCACTGCGTGGAGTTCTGATTGGCTGCGGCAAAGCGACGAGTCTCGGCAGGCGGCAAAAAACTGCTCCGAGAGCGATCGCTCTTGCCGCCTCGTTTTTTCCCCGCTTTCGCCGCCTGAATAGGAGGTTTTTCTCACTTTCTGCACTGCCGCCTCGCTGCTTTGGCCGCCGCGCCTTCGGTGTGAACGAACCTTAAGCGCGGCGGGCGGAGTGTTCTACCGCGACAGGATGATGGCACGTCAACACAATCGGCTGCAAAGGGGGAAGGACTTAGGCCACGTTCACAGTTGGGAAGTGAAGAGAAAACGAAAACGCCAGGGCAGCTGGAAAACGACGACCATGCGTGTCATTGTTGTTCACATTCGTTCTGCCCCCTCCCGCCGCCGCTACCATCGCTACCTTGAAAATTGATTTGATTATGCTAGTTATTGACACAAACTGGGAAAACAAAGAGCTCGCACGTCTTCAAACGTTGTTTCGGTAGATAAGCCAGCAGAAACGACACGAGTGACTCGCACCGGCGGTGGCGGCTTGGTTTCAACCAGCTGTACACCAAAAACGAGGCACGTTGGGGCATGCCGACTCGCTGCCGCTGCACCGTCTACTTCCAGAGTTCTCGGTGATCGTAATCCAAATCAGGCTCTCAATGAACGCGTCTATCTATCTATCTATCTATCTATCTATCTATCTATCTATCTATCTATCTATCTATCTATCTATCTATCTATCTATCTATCTATCTATCTATCTATCTATCTATCTATCTATCTATCTATCTATCTATCTATCTATCTATCTATCTATCTATCTATCTATCTGTCTGTCTGTCTGTCTGTCTGTCTGTCTGTCTGGCTGTCTGTCTGTCTGTCTGTCTGTCTGTCTGTCTGTCTGTCTATCTATCTGTCTGTCTGTCTTCTGTCTGTCTGTCTGTCTGTCTGTCTGTCTGTCTGTCTGTCCTGTCTGTCTGTCTGTCTGTCTGTCTGTCTGTCTGTCTGTCTGTCTGTCTGTCTGTCTGTCTGTCTGTCTGTCTATCTATCTATCTATCTATCTATCTATCTATCTATCTTATCTATCTATCTATCTATCTATCTATCTATCTATCTATCTATCTATCTATCTATCTATCTATCTATCTATCTATCTATCTATCTATCTATCTATCTATCTATCTATCTATCTATCTATCTATCTGTCTGTCTGTCTGTCTGTCTGTCTGTCTGTCTGTCTGTCTGTCTGTCTGTCTGTCTGTCTGTCTGTCTGTCTGTCTGTCTGTCTGTCTGTCTATCTATCTATCTATCTATCTATCTATCTATCTATCTATCTATCTATCTATCTATCTATCTATCTATCTATCTATCTATCTATCTATCTATCTATCTATCTATCTATCTATCTATCTATCTATCTATCTATCTATCTATCTATCTATCTATCCACTTACGACTTTCAGCTCACCTGGCCGTTTCGATAATGATATCAATAGCAAAATTAATATCAATACTAAAATTGGTATCAAATAACATGACAGTATGATGACTATGAGCGACTAGTCATAACACAAAAATTATGACATTTATGTAATGAGTGTCATGATTTACATTTCATGGCCTTGCTGCTCTTGCTATGGTTTCATTCACATGACATATTGCAAAACTGGTGTGATATGACATGACTGCATGGCGAACTCAAGAGACAGATCCTCACGTGGAAATCGTGACATGCATGTCATGTAAGTCGTGACTACACGCCACGCTCGTACGCTCGCGGACATTTCGCTGGCTACCCATATACAAAATTCGGTATTACGGGACGTGAATCAATGACGAAGGTATATGACTGTTGCAAATATGATAATCATGAGATGATTGTCACGTAAAAATGTGACTACATACCGCACTCATGATGCATTTGTAGCTATCTCGCTAGCTTCATATATACCAAATTTGGTATTGCGCGACGTGAATGCACGACATCCAAACTTGATAATCATGAAATGCGTGTTATGTAAAACGTGACCACATGCTTCGCTCATAGCGCACTCGCAGCCGTTTTGCTAGCTCTACATATACCAAATTTGGCAATACAGGACGTGAATGGACGACGAAAGTAAATGACACGTCCAAACATGATAATCATGACATGCGTGTTATGTACGGCATAATTTACGTCCACCACGTAACGTCGTGCTGATTTTAAAGTGACATATCAACCTTCCTAATTCGTGCTTCGTGCATCGATTTCCACTGTACATGGGATCTGTAAATTATTATTAAATAATGTCCATAAATTATATAAATCACAATAGTTAACCAGCAGACAGGAGATCTGGTCAAATTGGAGAACAAAAGACCTTCGTGATATAAGTTCCATAATATTTACAAAAAAGCGGCCTCTTTTAACTTTTGCGAAGTGATGAAATCTGTACGTATTTGCCGGTCAAACTAAAATTGAAAAGGGCAATTATCATATTTTTTGAGATGTACAGAATGAACAAGCTTCGTTATGAATCGTCGACCATGCATTACACTTCGTGGGTGTGTGCTTGCGCTTGCCACGACAGCAGGCACGGCGCACAGAAAAGGGAATACCATCCGAAATCCACTGAAGTCGCAGTCAGAAACAATGTTTTCACGCTGCGCGGTGAACTTTAGAGAATTTTGTTACTCTGAAAAAGTACCAGTGGCCACCTTTTGAAAATTTATTATCCCCAATAGGGTATTCATAGAAACAACATCAATTTTACCGTTTTACTAGAGTTGTTGGTTAACTTAATTTCTAAAATTGCTGCTGTAATTAATTTATGTAGTCTTCTCAAGAAGTCGGCCGCCATAGAAAACACAAATATGAAAATAGTGAGAGAATATTGCTTTTCTACATTATCTCATGACTTTCTGACACATATCTTAAAACGCGTGGCACATGCATGCATGTATTTATTAACGTCGGAATGCGAGAAAACTTATGCACAACAGAGAGAACGTGCGAAGAAATTGTCATTTAGTAGGACAGGAGAAATAAATGAATTAACTATTTACTTTCAGGGTCAGTAAATGAGCTTGCAAAAGAAAAGAGTGAAAACAACTTTGAAATTGTTCCCAGAAAGAGTAAATTACCATTAGCCTGATACTGGCACAGCTGCAGTCTTCATATGAGCACACAGGCAAGCACAAAGATTGCTTTAGGATATATCTATTGTAAGCGTAATTTGAAACTTGGTCCTCTGCGGGGCGGATCTGGCGAGAAAAAGACGTGTATAATAGTGCTAACGTGAGCAGCACGTGCCAAGAGAGCAAAAGAGTTTTTTATGGGTGCGACACTGTGGCGACAATACTGCATACTTCCAGGCCCACGACATCGAGAAGGACGGCTTTGTTGATCTTTGATCAACTATTCTATGAACTCGCACACGTCCGCAATCGCGCTTCAAAGCCTGGCGTAAATAGCAATATAATCGAAGGAATGAAATAATCACTATGGCCAGGGCGTGCTTTTTTTTCTCGGGACGTCATCGAAAATGTTCCTTCTCCACAACCAAAGCAATAAAAATGCAGGGAAGTTTTCATGTCATACTTATATCTTTTCTTGCTCACGGGATACTATATATGTTTTCATATTGCGTCACATTGGCGGAGTAGTGTAATATACATAAAAATGAATCACTACTGCGATTGCTTGCCATCGGAGCCGCACATTCATTGCTCGTTTGAAATGAAGCTTGTGACTACATGAGAGCGCTCTATGCATTAGCTGTGTTTTTCCTCTGCTGCTTTTGCAACTGAATGGATGATAATGAAGGTTGTGGGCTTTCTTGAGCACAATTTGTTTTTTGAAATACGACTAAAATTTCATGGGCGGACACTATGATATACTGGATGTGTGGACGATCCAGCCTGCAGTGCGAAGTCACTCTTCTCAAAAGATCAAACACTCAACTTCAGCTTATCACGTATGCTTCCCGAATAAACGTGTACAAAATGTTAACGGTATTTCCACTGCGATACATGTACCACATATATTATTTGGCAGTGAAGCGCGACAGTAAACGCTATACATATCAGGAACTTGTCTTGACGAGCCGAATAGAACGCATTTAAAAGTGTCCCGCGTTCGAGAAAATGTCGTTCGAGAACGCTGATAGGTTCCTTTAAAATTCGTGAAAATCAGTCTCGAAGCACCTGGAGAGCTTTAACTATGGTGACGTGTGAAAAAGTGCGATGTGTAATTGCGAGGCTCACGGGTGATATTGTTCCCTGAAGGATGCAAAAAATGTATGCGTGGAGTTGCAGCTATGCTGTACTGGCATTGATAACAATACTTAAAACCAGTCAGTTATCATTATCAGTGCTTCTGCAATTTTTCGTTTGAATCAGGTTAAATGTTTACCTTCTGCGCAAGCACACACGTCCGTGTTTTCCGAGTCACAGAGGAACTTCAACAGAGGACTTGTCTTGTCCGGCGTGTATAAACGTTCGCAAGAAAAGTCTGCAAAAAGAAACAACGCACAGCTGTGAGTGTGGGTCCGTTTAATACACTGCGACACGCCTGTCGCTGCCGCAGCCATTTGTCGCGTCAATATGCCAGACGCAGAGAAGAAACGACCAGCAGGTAGCATTTCATGAGTTCACATTTTTGAAGAACATATAAAGCATGGAAAGATGTATGGTTTCCATGAAAGTTGGAGGAGTGTTTTAAGTTACTTCGAAGAGAAAGTATAACAGTAATATTGTGTATCTAGCCAGTTGAAACCTAAGAATTGGTACAACCTCTACCCCCAAAATCACGGCGCACCTTTCAATCAGTCGCGCAAGCTCGTTTCCTTTAAAATCGCAAGTGCTTTTCTTGTGCTAATGTAAACGTCATGCACATCAGGAACTAAATAAGACCCATCGTCCTTACGTAAACAAGGACCAGTGGCTAAGCAATGATGTCAGAATTTTTGCAGACACTTGCCAGGACGTTCAAGTTTCCAACTTATAATACTGCACACAAACATGTGTCTTTACGGACATGCCCACTATACGAAACACGCGAGAAGTGCTGGACGTCACGGAAATGAGCAAATGAGATTGGATGAAACGTCCATGTTAATGCTCATTGGTGGCATGGTGATGGCTGCGGGTGGCGCTTGCATTTGTTGTCACGTTGTATACAGAAGACAAGCGGTTCAGTCATGAAAGGCTATCACTTCAAGTGTTTCGGTAAAAACATCAGCTCCTTCTTAAAAGTCTCTTCACAACGACTTTTACAGAAAGGACATGACCCGACATATCCGCTGAAACAAAGTGCCTGCTAAAAATGGTGCTGTCATGCGTCACATATCCAAATGAAACTTTGAAAGCAAAATGGGAGCGGGACATGTGGCAAAAGTATTACGTCGGATCTCAGTGTCGGTGTTCAGCGATAACGTCGTCCTTTGTTTCTTGTTTTCATTTTTTGGTCAGGAAAGTGGTGATTTGTATAATACGGATCAACGTTCAATGTAATAAATTGCGTTGAAGTTTGCATTATGTACTGGTGAGGAAAAAGTTATAAGTCGCGAGCAAGTTTCGTGGCTATACTGCTAGAGATGAATATTGCCCGCGTTTTTTAAAGCTATTGGTGTGGTCTTAGGATTTATTTTTAGTAAATAGTGCTTTAGTATAGATTTGTTAGCTCTAATATTGCCATTGTAGGCTCTCACAGAATGGTTAATTAGAGATGTCAATTAATTCAGACGTAATGATGAATGTATCTGCCTATATCTTCGAATCACAGTGCGTGTACGCAAGATGTCATGCACTGAAATAATAATCACTTTTACGGCCACGTTTCGAAGTGTCATAGGAATACGTCCACGGTTAAATATATGTCTTGTATTTGAGATATATATAGCAAATTTGTGCGAAATGAAAGCCTGCACAAATTACTTTTCCATCCCTATTCAAAGTTGCTTTCCACATAACCAACGCCTGTACACCACTACCTTTACACCCCGCTACCCTAAAGGCTTGAATAGCGTTAAAATGCCTTTTTGTATTGAAGAAAATGAAACCGTTTATTATCACTTCCGTCCTAATTGGTGCACAGCAAGCAAAGCCACATTATGTAACGTGAATGACTTCGCTTTTTGCAAAAACGGGGATAATAGCTAACAATATATACGTACCTGGTTCATAGTAAGCATACACTTTCACATAGCTTGACTGCAATTGGCCAACAGTGAACTCTTGCTCAAGAGTGAAGTTAACACAAGCTGTTGTGTTTCTTGGAATCGAAGGAACATAAATGTCAACCTTGCTGCTTGATATAGCATACAAGTCAATCTTTCCCTCATTGACGAGCTGCAAATGCGTAGAAGAGAAACGAAAATGCTATGAAGCGGCATATAGTAGTAAAACAGTATTGCAAAAAATCGCGTTATGTGTGAATGAGCAAACGCAGTAAAGCAGCAGCGATGTGTAACTGCGAGGCTTACGGGTGATATTCTTCCCTGAAGGATGCTACAAATTGATGCACTTTAACACAAGCTGACATTTACTGCACTCCTTTGATAGAAACAACTGAACAAAATAGTCTTCATCTTTTTCTATCTTGTCTGCTATCCTGATTCTGTCCTCTTACTTGCTAATGAGAAATTCTAAGCTGAAGCGTTCTTTGCAAACAAACAGCGGATGTTGTGACGTTACTCAGCAGATTCGCACTGTTCATAGATTCATATCGCTCTCGACAGTAGTATTTCGTTTACCCCAAATTTTCAGGCTTTGCGAAAGCGGAATAATGCATCATAATTGATCTCATGTTTGAGGCAGCTGTCCCAAAACAAATATTTTATTGGTTGGTCTTACGTGCCTCTTTAGGTTTGTAACATGCTTGTTTGCTTGGCAAAATGAACGATATCATTTGTGCAGAAAAAAGAAGCCTCAGTCTGGTTCAAAAGGAAGTTGCCTTAAAGAAGGCCAATGGCTGGTGTAGCATTGTTGGAACCGCAGCTGATGCGCCCATTTTGCCCCGCGATTCATCAGTGACAATTTCTGACTTTTGTTTTTTAGAGCGCAGCTACTTATGCGTTAGTTCATGCGCAAAAGTCATTGTAACTAAGCTAACAATGGGCACATGACAAGATAAGTGAGGGCAGAGCGCAGCTAGTGGAACGCAGAGCACGGGTACTCTTTGGGACCTCTGGCCTGCTGTCTTCCAGTACTTTTTGCGCGTTTCTGATCTCTTTCCACTCCCGCAGATACGGCCTCCTTGCACTCAGACCGACAGAGCTAGCACTTTCACCCATTCCAGCGCTTTCGAGGTGTAGTTAACGGACAAAAAACGTGTTCTCCTCACATCAGTATTTTGTGTTAGTTATATAACTTTTATCGTTGATAACGCTTTTGCCCGCGATGCAACAGAGCGACATATTAAGCTTATGCTCAGCAGCTTGAGAACATGTTTCCAACTTCTAAACGTGTTTTTCAAAACATAATTATTTAGCGCACCCACTTGACCAGAAAAACTTAAGCCTTATAGTCACCAATTACCTCAGATGGGTTGAGGATCACCGGAAGTTATAAAAGCGAAAGGAATGCTCACAGAAGTCACTGCGCCGGCACGTATCCCTGAAACGAAGCTTGCGGCGCATGACTACTGCTGATTCGAACAGTGTATACTCCAAGAGGTGGATATTGTTGGGAATATTGAATTGAATCGAAAAAAAAGTCACAATTTACAGATAACTGGCCATCGTATACAAAATATACAAAAATAGCGTTTCAATTAACAGATTATTTATACTTCATGTATGGTAAGATAAAACTACATTTGATGATTGATCTCACTTTAACCGCGCTGGTTATTAGTGACAGAATTCTTTTCTTGCGAAAGATGGTTAGAAATGTTTTTTCTCTATTTTTGAACGGCTATCTATGCACAATATATATATATATATATATATATATATATATATATATATATATATATATATATATATATATATATATATATATATATATATATATATATATATATATATATATATATATATATATATATATATATATATATATATATATTAGGCATTATGCCTTGAGTGCTGCATTTCTGTGCATTCTTTTGATTATTTCGTCTGGCAAATCCAGGGGTTATAGCGCTGTATCTTCTACTCCATCATGTCTTATCCCTGCGTTATCTCCGACGCTGTCTGATAAATCAGCAAACAAGAAGCACCTTAGGTGGTGCTATGTGGCAAGGAGTCATGACCGACCTTTATGAAGACACGCAGTGAATGATAGTGACCTGCACGTACTATGCTGCGTGTGCAAACTAAAAGGACACCTTGAAAGCCTCGGGCTACATGCATGCTTACCTGAGACGGCCTCGCATGCAGTGACAAAAAAGTGAAGTGGAACCATTAATTTTAGGGTGTCAGGTATCCTCGTCTTTGCATGAATTTGGCATTGCTAAGTTCACGGAAATTATGCGATTCCTACCAGAGTTACTTCCTTTTTTTAAAAACCCTCTGAGGTGCCATGATGAGACTGAATCAATCATAACGCCATAGGAGTATTTTTGAGCGCTTTGGGTAATATATGGTCTACTGCCCAAACTTTAGGAGACAGATTTCCCGTGAATCATTTTTAAAGGATAGTTTCTAAATAAGAAATGAGCTCAATGAAAGCCTCAGGATTTGAAGCGAAGTATTTAAAGCGAAGGTCAATAATGACAAGCTTGGTCTTTATATTGTAAAAAAAGACCGTAGGAGTGGCTTAGTGTGGTTGCACTAATTGCAGAATCACGTCCACTGACAGTCGAAATGAGGAAGTGCCGTACAAACATGGATATGGATAAGTGTTTTATCGGCCATTACATCACTTAAGAGAGTGAGAGAATGGAACATTGACGCTGCATCTCCGACTGCTACAAGTCCGCCTCATCACCTGTCATATGACAAAACAGCTATTTAGTGCTACAAATGGGCATCGCTTATGTGTTGCACGTGACAGTTAGATTGGGTGTGTGAGAAACGGGGGATATATAG